CCCGTATCTCAGTTATGCATGGATGGATTTTGTTCAAATTTGGTACATACATTAAACATAATAGGACCTTGATGCACGTCTTTTTTTTTCGGATCAAGTTCGAAATGGCCGACTGGCGGCCATTTTGTTAAAGAATTCAGTTCTGGATCCGTATCCAAGACATGTCTGGATTGATCAAGTTCAAACTTCACACACACATGGTACATCATGTCACAAATAGATATGTGCATTTGTTTCATGATCTGCTTAACAATAGCGGAATGATGGCCATTTTAAGGCCGAAAATGCATCAAAATCACGTATTTTCACAATTCCAGAACCGGATCTCAGTCATGCATGGATGGATTTTGTTCAGATTTAGCACAATGTGTTGTACATATGCAGGTGCATTTCGGTCATGATCTGCTTTGAATGTATATGTCACTCAAATATGAACGGAATGGGGACGTGTCATTGACAATGACTTGTTATTTGTAAATACTGGAGTAGGAATGGCATTAATGTTTTCTGTTTAACTTTTGTGATGTTTCATCATTTCTTTAGGTGTGTAGTGCAATAAAAAAAAACAATACAATTTTATTGATTTTTATTAGACTTGTTCTGAGATGACCTAGATTCATAATTTAGCTATGCTAAACGGAGTTTCTCTCATTTGTTTACATTATTGCCAACCAATATTTGTTGTCTCGCTGATCAGCACTAGCTGGCTATCAGTTGTAGCGGAGTTTCTCTTGGGTAGTTTTTATTAACATGGATTTTATTAAAATAAAATTAATAAATAATCTGAAATTAAGACCAACCTCATTTTCACTGGAGTCAACACTGACAGTGTAATAAATAGTGGCTAGTTTGAATTTAAATAAAAAGTTGGGTTTATAAATATCTATAGACATGGGTTTGTTGTCTTGTGAATTTTATTGACTGATAAATATAACAAGTTTTATTTAACAATTTACAGTTGTTATGAGTGGCATGATTTAATGTAAACAATGTATTTTACATGCGTTGTATTTGTCACTATGGGTCCCATATTGACACAATGTGGTGTGACGACTAGCGCTTTAAACTGAAAAAGAAACGTTATCTTTATGGCGTTAATAAAACGTTCTTTTCATACATGCATATTTAATAACAGCAGAGAAAAACACCAATATTTTATCTAAGAACGCAACTAACTGGTTCTTAGCAACCAGTCATAGTGTAAGCGCTAAATGTAAACAAGTGGGAACTCTTACGGACTTTGTTCATGGGAAGTAAAATGTGAAAAATAAATTGTGAAATATTGCTTTTGATGGAATTGAGGCTGTATGAAATGATGTAGGGAGAGAAATGATTCATTTTGATATGCATTCTTCTATGTATTTGAAATTACTAAACTGCTTGAAATTCAAATTTAACATTTTATGCTCTGACAAATACTTACAAAATTATTTTTGCTTTTTTTAATTCGCAGACAAAAAATTCTGGTCCTCGTCGTGGGGAATATAATGTATACAGCACCTTCCAGAGCCATGAACCTGAATTTGACTACTTAAAAAGTTTAGAAATAGAAGAAAAAATTAATAAGATTAAATGGCTACAAAGACAGAATAATGCACATTTTTTGTTATCAACAAACGGTAAGTAGTCTATATATCAATCTTGAAACGTGTATAGATTTTCTTTTGCCAAGTGACCTACTTTCCATAAATAAAGCGGGCGTTATTCTCCATATGTTGCCAAGCAGAGCTTTATTTGAATAATTACTGAGTTACAAAATCACATTCACCACAAGAAAAATTACAATTTCCCATTATATAATTGTTTTTTGGAAGTCTATATTTCTGATGTCAGTAGAAAGATCCCCCAACCCCCACCCAGAAAAAAACATCTTGTTCAGCTCTGCAAATGATGCTGTTACTAGCAACCACTTCACTGCTTCTCGTTAATTCAACTTGCCTAGAAATTCATCCATCATTTCATTTGCCATGGTAACCAGGTTACTATAGCAACTGGAGGAATGTTATTTCAAGCTACTTGTAATGAAATACGGTACGAGGTGGGTGCTACTTTGGAGTATTCTCCATGTACACTTATAGCTGTAACAATATTTCCTCTCAAAACCTTTCTACATTTAATTATTTTAGTTTTAGTCAACAGTCAATCTCTTCATTGAGAAATGATAACTGTAATTTCAGCAGCTGTTTCCATAGACCACAATAAAAACACATTTCCTCTTAAAAACTCACTAAAAATAGTCTATTTTGCAATTCTTTTAGACCTAATAAAAAGTACCTTGTAAGACACTACCTGACATTCTATTTTTTCACCATGTTACTGAGGAAAATTTTGAGATGCTGTATATCCTTGCTACAGGAAGCAATGGTAATATGCCCTAAAACGGACAAAATATGCTATTTTTAAATTATTTTCTTTGATGTAACATAATGTATTAAATATGTGGAAACAAAGAAAAGACAATATTTTTACTTTTGTCCAGTGTTCTACCCTTAAAAACGGACATTAAGCAATCTTGGTTGGACATGCGCATTTGTTAAATGTGTAGCATGTTAATATTCTTGCCATCTTTGTACCATACTATCACAGAAGTGCTACTTCAGTGAAATTCTTGTAATTCATCATCAAACCATAAATTCTTGTATGCTAAATAATGAATAAAACAAATCTAAGATGACTAGTAGCATGCATGTAACATGATCACATGAAGGTAGATATCACTGATTTTCAAACATATTATTGATAAAATACTACATCAAAAATAAAAATATTTTTAATTTAATTTGACCTAGGTTTTGTCCAATTTTAACTGCAGTAAAAAAAGAAAGACGGTGTTAAGATTTGTCAATATGCAGATAGAACTCTACAGTTGTGCTTCTATTCGGAGTACTCAGCTAAATTGATTTTTGGCTCAATAGACCATGGGTCCGCTGAGCCTATGGGATGGGGTTTCTGTAATGCGTCTGTCGTTTGTCTATCTATCTGTCTGTCCGTCTGTCTGTGCACGACTTCTTCTCAAAAAACGCGATTTTTGGTGTGTGGGTGCCTTGATGGTAATTTGTTCATGAGAAGTCAATCTGCCAAAAATTATGCAAATTAGCCCCCCAAAACTCTACTGTGGCGGTCTATATTGAGAGCACCATCTATAGTATGGTGTTGGAATAACTTTGTTTATGAATAAGTCTATGCATTCCTATGTCGGACAGTCAAATCGTTTCCGTCTGTGTGGGTAGGTCGATTCTCCTGTTAAATCGACTGAATTCCTTCCAAAGACTGAACTAAAGTGGTTATGGATGTTGTGGAACTCTTGGGACCGACGAAATCGTGTTTGCGTGGAATTTAGTGACTGGCAGAAGTCCTTTCCGTAAGTTGTGTGGTTGTGTGGATCGACCGCAGAGGTTGCAGTCTGCTGTTGCTATTGTGTTGAACGAAATCGTGGTTGAACCTAGCTGCAGTTCTGTCGGTTATTTCGTTCGTCGTGGTATTAACGCAAAACCATGGAGCTACAGTTTCATCCTTTGCGAGTTTTATTTTCATTATTTCGCCTTAAGTTTCTACCTTTCTACTGTTGATTGTCCCGAAACTATTTCATCAATTATTTTGAGGGCGATGGTTCGAAATTGGTCGATTTCAAGACAAATCTCCGTGTTTGCTGCCATCTTGAATACCGTAAAATTCCTTTTTGAGGCCGCGGCTTTAATTAAAATTCATTTTTTCAATGGACGAATTCAGATGCGTGAAGTCTTGGTGCGGCTTTAATTAGAGCATTCACTTCGGTAACAGTTGGAATTTTTTTCAGAAAACAAAGGCCAGAAGGGATAATGATATGCTAATGAGATGCACGACACTCGACCTACTTTCACAAACAAACAAAATTTCACACTGTATGCTGCGTTTCACACAAGTGAATAACTTACTTGTTTTCGAAGTGTTACAATTGCTGATTATTAATCAGTAGTGATTACAATAATGTACAAAAATAAATTCGTTGAATTGTTGTGAAAATTCAACTTAGTTTCACCGCAAGCGAATGATTTTGGTCACATATAAATGCTCGACCGATACGATATCCGCCATGTTAGTTCAAACATCTTTAGTGACTTGAAACTGTTATGTTGACCTGGTAGGCCAAGTCGCTAATTAACCAATCGAAACGCTGGATGGTGCCAACGTGATTAAATTACCATAGCGCATTTAAATATGTTAATGTAGTTCAGCGACCTCATGGTAAACGAAACACGGAAGAGATTTACCG